CCCCCCCCCCCCACCCGGGAGGGCCAAATTTAAGAAAATACTTGTACTTCTTTTTCCCTCATTTTTTGTCTTGTTTTTTTTTGTTGCTCGTATCCTCAACATTGGTACGCAATAAAAGTGTTGTGGTTGACTGCTCGCTGTACTGACACTACAGCTGAAAGAAACGCGTTGGTGTTGGTGGAGAAACTGTACACGACAAAGTTCCACATCATCCACAATTTATCCTCGAATAGACTAGTCAAAGTTCATTGAACTCAACAACCGGAAAAGCATCACGCCTCTGCGCGCGTGAACAAAGAACCAAACAAAATGATCGACGGACACCGCGGAACATAGTGGGAGTTTCCACTATCTATGCACAGCAGTGTTCCGTTCCAGCAACCATTTTCGCACTTAGAACTACCCCAACTCCGAACACCGCCGTTTCGGAGTAAGTCTACGCCCCCGGAAGCGTACATCTGGCTGCTTTTCCTTTTCCTCCTCCTCCTCCTCCTCCTCCTCCTCCTCCCTTCGCTGGACTCTGAGTCTACTGTTGTTACTGCCAATGCGGGCCGAGAACGTTTTTGACCAGTCTTACGCCGTGCACCAGCGACAGACGTCCTGCCCCCTGGACCCTTCTTTCTTCAGCTTTGCCATCACGCGGGATTTTTGCTCGCGTACGTCGTAGCTGGCTTTAAATCTCACACACAGTATCGGGATCCATCCTTCTCTCTCATGGGCGATTCCTCGCCGTGTTGACCCTGTACGTTGTGGGGCATGGAGTACTTCCACACCAAAACCACTCAACGCTGGGGAAGGCAAACAATGCACTTCAGCGGCACTCACATGAACTCATANCCGGGACGGAGCACGCCGGGTTCTCACCGGACCAGGCTCTCACATCACCAAGCGCGAAGCGCCGTGAGATACTCGGCGAGTCGCATGAAGGGTGCGCTACATCCTGCTAAGGGTGTTCGGCATCTTGTGCTTACTTCCTTGCGTACGGATGATAGCTGCGTATGACTTGATTGATTTATTTTCTGGTTGGTGCTTTAAGTTGCTGAAACAACAGTTAGTTGTTAGCACCGTGTAACTGCCTCGAGGGTGCTTGGCCATTTTAACACAACGTGGTGCGATCATCCCCCTTGCGCGGAGTATGGGATCTCCACCCCGCACAACATGATCTCGACCACCATTGTGGTTACCGCCAAAAAAACGAGGTAAGAAAAAACAAACGGTATGTATGTGGAGACCACCTTCATAAAGGTTGAAACTTTCAACGTCTGTCGAGGACGAAACCCTCTTTTCCACAGGTAACCTGGTTGCCGAGTTCACGAAGTGAATTGGCTTGCTTTGTTTGCAACCACAACGTCGTTGTTAAGAGACGAAAACCCAACCCGGATGGCAACACCGATGGGGGGGGAGGGGGGGGGGGCGTACTCTTATGTTTTGCATGCCTTAGGCTGATTCTTATCGATCCGTACGTACACACACCGGTCACGACCAGGCGAGAAGCCCGTGGCATACCACAGCAGACGCGATAAACCCACACCATGAACAACAACGCCGTAGCAGCGGCAGGCCGGCCATCTAGAGCGAAATCGTTGCCTTTGAGACTGCAGGATGCTGGTGAAAGTGATGCTGCTGCTGGGCATGGGGTCGCCCAGACCGCGCCTGCTGGCGCGGCACAGCGGGTACCGAGCGGCATGGCCCGCCAGACCGTTCACAGCAGGGTTACCCCCCATACTGGTACACAACAGGGTATTCCACCTGGTGCGGTGATGATGCCGGGCTTCTCGGACGACGCTGATCGGCAAGCTCGTCAGGCGGCCTTAGTAACGGTTCTCAACGACAAGCGATTTGGCGACGCCCCACAAAAAAATTGGACCGAGTCGGAGAGCGGCGGCGAGGAAGACGAGGGGGGGGGGCAGCCCGACGTCAAGTGGCAGCAGCAATGTGTCGGTAGAGGACAGTTAAGCTCCGTCGGACATTGGCTCAAAGTCTGGAGATGTCGTGTTCGAAAAGGAAATTCGGGAAGCAATGACCGGGGGAGGGGGAGCGGGCACGAGGACCACAAACCACGGCAAGCGAAAGGCGAGCGCAGGCGGCAGCGTCGTAGGGAAGAACAAAGCAGCAGCATCCCATCACGCGAGTGCCAAAAAAGCCCGGGGCAAGGACTACCCACACTGGGCCACACACTTTCTGAAGCGGACATGCGCGCACCGCAAGATCCCGAGGATGTCGCAGAGGAGCAAGGGTGTCCTGGTGGCGGCCCTGCGACCTCTCGACGCCAACATGAAACGGCCATCTCCGTACTTCGACGACCTCGATGCTATCGCAGCCGGTGAGATGCTGGTATTGTGTAGATTCGTCGTCGATTAGAGTCCCAGCAGACGACACAGAGTATCGACAAAATATAGGTAGTTACTCTGCAATTGAACGCAGTGTGCGCAGAGGAAACAAAACAAAATTACTGCTGTGTGTGTAGTGCCCGCTTCAAATCAACCTATACTTATGTACAGTAGCAGGTACACGGCATGCTCGAGAGCTGTCTTATTTGCCCCAGTAGGTAGGATAGTGAAGGCACTCACAGCGTACCACACGGCATGCTTTCTTGACGATATTCAATCGGTGGTGCACCGACCAATACGGTAAATCTTTGGATGTTTTATCCTCTCACGCCCAGAGGAAGTAAGGTAAGGTGAACGATGTTTTGTGGAGGACAGTCATTAGGAATATGTAGTTTTGCCAAACTTGGGCGTGTACACCTGAGGCTTCCTCTCATGCGAAGGCGTATTCGTTGTCTCGGCCGCTTTCTCATATCCGGGCGTTCGGGCGTTCGCGCAGGCAAATCTGGACGCGGCAGCGAGCAGGAGGAGGGGGAGGAGGGAGTCATCCCGGCGAAAGCGCTGCTTATGTTTCGAGGCGTTATCAACATGGTCGCCCTAGCACGTGACAGAACTGAACCGTTTACAGTCGAGGGTGTGGACTACAGTGTGGCGGACCTTTACGACGCCATGGAGAAGGAAGACAAACCGGAACTGGAGGATTCTGCCGGCGGGAGTTCGTCGACGGGTGGTGCAGCCGGACCGGACGGGGGTGGTTCCGCCGGAGGGAGCGGCAACATCACGGAGCGCAAGGGCCCACACTGCATGATGCGGCTCGTTGGGATCCTGTGCGAAGACTCCATCCGCCCACGTGTCACCAACAACAGCCGCTTGCAGGCGACCCGGCAGGAGCTGGACACCTCAGCAGTTGGGCCGCGGAAACATTTGTGGACAGAGGTCACCGACTGCTTCCGAGACCCTCGCCACAATGTGCGTGCTGGGGGTAGGGGGTTGACTAGTACGGATCGGACGAGAACGTTGTACAAAAACAGCAGTCGATCTGTATGTTGACAACACATGCCGTTTATTGATAATTACTTTTAGGCATGGTACTCAACACCTCATAACGTCCACGGACGATCGCGCCATCGTTTTAGGTAAAATGCCATTAGGTATCCAACCCCAAGAGCGGGTCAACCTGCTGTTGACGTCTACCGGTGAATTACGTAGTTGTTGCTGACGCCGACGACCATACTGCTGTAGATACTGCTGTAGTTGCTTCGTTGCCTATTATAGTGAAAGACATTGAAAACGCGCTGAAATTTTTCAATAGAATGCACTGATAGCCAGACAATATTTTTTGCCAGAAGAAAATAACAGGCCGGGAACAGACCGATATTGGGCCTTCCCGCAAGAGAGGTGCATTCCCCCCGTTCTTTTTTTTTTTCGTATCGAAATCGAGTTCAATTTCTCGCACGTCCGGGGGGCGTCATCTTTGTAGGTAGGTATAAAGAACACGTGTATGATCTGCGTTGCCCCTTCCCTCGCTCCCTCGCTGGATGCCTGACCTATGTGTGCTGTGGACGTTTTTCAGGTTAGAAAAATCGTGGACGACGAACAAGTGAGTCACGTCAACCCGAACATCATCCATCCAGCAACCTAACATCTCGGCGGAAAAGATCACCAAGATGTGGTCTGCGGCAAAGGCGAAATGGAACACGCCTAATGCCAATTGGAAGAGTGAATCCGGCAACAACCAGCCATGGCTTTCATTTTGCCAAGGTAAGAGATGGGTGACGTAGGGCTGGGTATAAAAAAGCGTCTGTGTTCTCCAAGAACCTTGTGCGATTCTGTGGCCGTGGCGTCAATTTGCCGATCGTACTTCAGCGTGTAAGTGTTGCTACGGTCGGAGTTCTGATATTGCACTTGGAGTTGTCGATAGTGTTGTAAAACGTACTCCCGGGATGACGTCCACCTTGAGGCCTGATTGAA